ATATATATATATATATATTCAAATTCTTTTTTGCAACTCAACAGTTGACCTTTTTGAACTACGTTTTTTTTTTGTCTTACATAATTTAAATACAGTAACAAAATTCATTAAAACTTTTTTGGTTCATGCTGCAATGATTAAAAGGGTTTTTAAATTATAAAGCGATGTAAATAAAATGAAGTACATTAAATCATTATTACTTTTAAATGGCCATATTCTATTTCCCCAAATTCATATGGGTTTGCAAAATTTTCAAAAAAAGTTTATTTTTATTATTTGACAGTTCAGAATTAATTTAATAACGATAAAAGGAAAAATAAATCATTGAAATCACTCTTGTCTAGTGTTAAACTTAAAATAGTTTTAAGGTGCGATAATTATTATTATTTCGTAATTTTTCATATTTTTACGAAAGTTTTTATGAATACTATAAAACTATTACATTATAGTTAGAATATTCCATTTTATGACTCCTAAAGGACTTCCAACTCAACCCTACGCATCCAAATATGACTACGCTTTCGGTTTTTCGTCAAAAATAAGTATCTTATGATACTTCAGCATGTAGAGGCAAAACCAATCGATTAGCTTGTAAGATGATTCAGAAAAGATTGGGAAAAAGTCTATAAAAGACTGCATTCCCAGTACAACAAACCTTTTACAAAATCTCCCTCTAATTGTCTAAAAGGATGGATAGAGAGCTACAGAAATTTATCACACCTCACAATTAGGAAACAGCCTTTCGAATTCGAAAGGTGGGGGGACTCACTATAAAAACCATCGAACCTTCTAAGTGTTGGGGATTGCGTGATTGAGGGGTCCCATTCCACCCACTACTTCAATCGGAATCGACTACTGAAAAAGAACACATGCCATTGTTCTCACGATCTTTCCGATGTAGTTCCCAGACTCCTTGTTTGTCGTCACCCTTTTAGTAATTATCACGAATTCGCCGGGAATGAAGGTGAAATGTTAGATAAATGTTCGTTCGGACCTTCTACTGCTTTCAGTGTTAAAGCAACAAAATAGAGTGACAGGGAATGTGTTGTCATTCATGGCAAAGTTTGTGTGCTATGGTATTCATAACATAATTAGTGTCACTAGTTTGAATAGTTTTTAAAATATGTAAAATATGTTGTTAAAATGTTTAATTTAAGGGTTTTTAAACACAAAGTATAATTATGCTCCCTATCTCTTCGCAATTTGTTTTAAATATCGCACTCTCAGAAATAAACCTCTCTTTTTTGACGATACAGCAATTCTTGTGCTGTATTTCGTTAATTTTGAGAATCATTCCGTCACGAAATAAACGTGATTTGTGACGATACACGAACTCTTGAATTCATGACGAAATATGTTTCTCGAACTGGAAACCTCATCGCAGTGCATTGTGGGAGGGTGTTAATTAAAATGACGAGACTAGAATGAAGAATCTACGATTGAAAATAAAGCGGCGAAATGAGCCTACCGGCTTGTATGGTGGTTAAGTAACGTACAGGGAAGATCCAGGGTAGAGATCCGGGATTTCGTTAATTTTGAGAATCATTTCGTCACGAAATTGCGTGATCTGTGACGAAACGTGAACTCTTGAATGTGTGACGAAAGATGTTTCCCCATCTTGAACCCTCTTCGTAGTGCATTGAAGATTGTTAACTAGAAGGACGAGACTAGAATGAGGACTAGACGATCAAAAATAAAGTGACAAAATGAGCCAACCAGTTTATATGGTGGTCAAGGAGTTGGTTTCATCCCGGAATCCGAATCCCGCTTCAGGCGTGGACGTAATTTATCTTTCCTTCCATTGGTCCTTCTTGTGCCGTTGGAGTTTGAACATTGATCCAGCTATATGGTACGAACGATAAAGGGGTTATTAGAAAAGCTCATTACATTAGGCAATACAGAGATATTTATTAATTAATTAATTAATTTATTTATAAATTGTTTTTTTTAAACGGAATAAAATAATAAAATATATTCTTTAATTTTAGCGAAACTTGTTTCGTTAAAGAATATAGTTGTTTTGCCACTTCTGACGAAATTTTTGCTCGGAGCATATACCAGGAAACAGCTTCATCAATAAGGAAAAAAGTTTCGCGTTATTTGTATATCCATTTCTTACAGTGTATAGACCAGAATTTTTTCGGCTTAAAATCTGGAAAAATATGTATCTCATTTTTACGGTAGTTCATCTAAGTATAAAGGGAGATTTTTGCTTATTATGCTTTTGGAAAATTTATGCTGTTGCAATACTATGGAAACTATTAATGGTATAAACTGTACTTTCTAGTAAAGTAAAAATTTAAGTAAATTTGAAATTAGTATCAATTTATGTAATGAAATAACGATAATAATTTTCCTTCAATTTTTTAATCTAAAAAATGCTTTTATTTTCGTATATACAATACGTAAAGTCTTTGTTTTTGTGATTACGTTTGTCCAAATCTGTATTTTTGCACAGTATCTCCCCAAACAGATGCAAATTTTATCCGTGATCTACGAATGAACTACAATTTAAAAACAACGTTATTTTTATGGCTAAAGTGATATTTGTGATTACGTGCCATTAAAGCATTTAATTTAATTCTACAGCAGCAGAAATCTTATAAAATTATGCATTTCGAATGCATGCATTTTGTCACGAAACTGTTGCAAGTTTTTCAATCATTTCGTTAAGAATATCCATAGTAGAAAGCCCAATTGACCAATATACAAGGAAAATTAATATTTAAGAGAACTTAAGTTAAGAATCTAAGAAGCCTCAGCCAGGTTACTTTGACAAAATATTATAAAAAGTTCTCTTTTTTAAAGTGCTTAAATTATTAAATAATAAAATTAAAGCTTCAAATACATGCATTGTTATATACTTAAAACACATTAATAATAATTTTTACCGGAATATGTTACGGAACAAAAAATATGATATATTAAAATTTTCACAATAATAATTACCGTAAAATCAATTGATAATTAATAAATATTACTGCTAACTCTGCTAAATAAATATCACTGTACTGAACTTTAACTTAATAAATATTACCGTAAGATTATGGTATAATATTTAACGGTATAAATAAATTTTATGGTTAGATGGATTTTTCGAATGAGGCACCCTAAGCGCCCTCACTTTATACCGTAATTTAATCAGGAATTTTTTACCGTGCAGTTTACGGTGTGTAGAAATGAATCTTATAGTCAAATCGTCAAGGTTTATTTCATTATGTATATCTAGTGAAATTTCAGAGGAATTTATTTTTACGAGATTCTTTCACATGTAACGAGACGTTTACGAGACTCTTTATCGTATTTGGAAATACTCAATCAACCTAAACATTTAAATTTAGAAAAATGTCCGAATTTGATTTATCACTTTGGCAAATATCATCACCTTTACAACGTTAAACTGTAAGTCGCTAAACAGAAGCTGTCACATTTTATAAAAGTGAAAGGGAGAAAGGCTTCACATCATCCCCTTCCGGTTTCTCTTGATCAAGTTTTCATCTGCAAAATAATTTAAATGGTTAATTGAGAAACAAGAAGTGAAATCTAATAAACCATGCTGTATAGTAATGGCATTTCTGAAGGAAAAAAAAACATAATTCTTGTTTAAAAAGAAAAAAAAACTGAATATCTTTCAGAAGTTTACCGGAAATTCTGGTTTTCAAAATAATATTTTTTATAACCAAACATTTAGCAAAAAAAAATACAAAATTGAAAAGTAAATTTAACGGATTGAATGATTTTTATGCCATGCTCTAAGGTATCAGGATAAAATTACCAAATTTTATCACATAATATAAAACCATATTTTATTGTTAATTTTACCAAAATCATTACCAAAGCGCTTCGATAAAAATGACCGTGTTTTTTGGCGTTCCCTTGAGTTGGAAACACGGTAAATTTTACCATATTCAGGTAGCTATGACCATACTTTTTTTTTTCTCTGTTTGCTATGAATCAATCTGAAGAACAGATTTTGATAAGATTATTACATCGGCTTACAGTATATAACAATAGAGATAGCCGAAAGCTTAAAATGAAAGAATTAATCTAAATTAATAAGCAAAATTGCAGTAAAAAAGGAAGAAGAAAGAAAGCCAGATTATATTTTTACTACGCATAAAACGTCTGCAATATTTAAGTTTTAAAGTTTTTAAGCAATTATTTAAATTTATTATGCATTTGAAGCAACCTGAAGAAAAAATTGTAATGAGTTTGAATTATACTGAATGAGAAACAGTTCTTTTTTTTACTGTCACATACCTAATTTATATTATACATTTTTTATTCTCCATCTTTGTTAATAGTTTCCGATATCAACTTGTATGTCACTTATTCTTATGTTTAATAAAGATATGCTTTAAATATTTTAAAAACAAGTATGAGACATGATTTCAACATTATTTGAACTTAATTGAATTATTCTCCAATTTTGTTTTTGTACTGGATTCCAATCAATGAATGAAAAAGTAAAAAAGATATATATGATTTCTTTTAATTAAATGTTGAAATCGAAAGAAAACTGATGGGGAACAATCTTTCCTTTCCCAAAAATATATGTTATTAGGAATTTTCTAATTTTAATCATTGATTAGACACTTCTTCAAACAAAGTAATTTTCTTCAGAGTTTTTGATTCAATTATCCCAAATGGCTCTTTCAATCAGAGATTTTGATTACTTCATTTGTTATTACCCCTCATCAAGTTATTATCCAGCAATTTTGAACCACGCCATTTTCAGACAGGCTGTCTAAAGACAGGATTATTCGTATCTTTCAAATTTAAATTATTTTTCT